TGAAAGAAATACCTATGTGATCTTTTGCAGGCGAAATACAATTTTTTTTTAAAATAATAAACCATTATAATTTTGGCAACAAGATCACTTACAGATGGTCTTATTACAAACAATAGAAAATTCCAAAAATAAATAACACATCAATAAAATAAATCTCAACTACTTGATATCATTCATACAACCTAATATTGTGCTTGAGAATACAAAATAAAAGAACTAACAAATAAAAGAAAAGATATCGGAGATTACTTCAACCGGGCTTTTTACACCCCATACCGAGTCACCATATCCAATGGCGAGGGATCAGCGGTGTAACTTCAATCTCGAACCAGGAAAGCTAATTTCGGCCAAACTTGATAACCACCCTTAAATCTCTATAAAACCCTAACCCCAAAAAAATAACTCTAAGCTTCCCTCTGATTTCTTACCCTAGTTTCTTCTTAAATCTAGAGAGGAAAGAGAATGTTAGAGAGAGAAAGTTTGAGAGGAGAGAGAAGGGCACGGTCCTTAGGGAGGAGAGAGAGACAGTTTAAGAGAGAGAGGTGTGTAGAGATGGGGGGAGAGCACCCCTATTTATAGTGAAATTTAGGTCTAGGATTTTTTTAGGGTTTCCCATAGTTTGCTTATTTTTTGAGATTGAATATAGACTGTTGATCAAGGTGACTTGTGGGGTGAGAGATCTGAGCCATCCATTTCATAGATGGATCATCAACATTATGGAAGGTGCATGAACCATTATCCCCCTTTGCTTAAACCATTTTTCCATCAATATATTTAAATAAATTAAATCCATTAAAGATATAGTGCATATTCCATCTCATATTTTCCATAAGAATATTTCAATAAGTCAAGATATTCCTTCAATAATCAAGATAAGAAATGGTCAATATTTCCTAATCAATATTTTACTATATGCTACAAGATATTGTTACCATATTTAATAAACTTGAAGACAAAGCAACAAGAGAAAGAATCCAAGGGTGGGGCGTGCCACCCATGTATAGTATGTGGGGCCCCACCTCATACCCACATGGTGGGCTCATGTGCACTATGGGCCTTATATATTTTTTTTAATAAATATTTTAAATTTAAATAAAATAAATTTTAAAACATTATAACTTTGTAAATCATTTTTATAAGTCCAAAAATAAGAAATAAAATATCAAATAACTTATAAAAAAATTCAAATAATAAATCTAAAATAATTTAATAATAAAATGAACACAATTAAATTAATATGATGGGAAGTAGATCCATATGGTTCAGGAATTTTATCAATGATCACAGGGTGCTCTACCTTCAACTGTAGACTACAGATCACACTTGCTTTATCAAACCGACCCAGTGTTTCTCATGACCCACAGTCCAAGCAGGGCCTCATTAGCGGGTCACCAAAGTCTGACCGATAAGCCAAGGGGTCGCATTCCCAGTTTGTGGATTACAGGTCCTCCCCTAGAGACGATTCAAGGTCACCACGACTTGATGTGACCACGGTTTTATGGCGCATAGAGGTTCCTCTCGCATGCATATGCTTCACCCAAAGGTGGATATTTGGCTTTCTCGAACGATCTATCAATATGCATGCCGTGTGATAGAACATAGATGAGGTTTTGGCCTCCGTCTCAGTAGGTCTACCATCACACACAACGATCACACAGTCCATCGGCTCTCTCATCTAGGAATAAGCTCCGACATCATCAAGGGCGAACCCAAAACCCTCATCGGTTAATTCTTTATTCCCAAGTACTTTAGGTTTTCCAACTGTCTGGCCTAGATCGATAAGCACAATCTGGTATAAGTAAACATCATTTGTTTAGTATGGTCTTTGAGGGACCACGCTCTCACTAAGTTTATGTTTCACTATAATGAAAGTATTTCAATATACACTCATAAGGCCTTTAAATGCCACATAAACCCAACAATTTTTTGGGGAGTTTGGGATGAGGGGTTTGAAAACGATTGGTATATAGGTGATTTTGACTACACTTTGAAACTAAGAGAGAGAGAGAGAGAGAGAGAGATTTTAAGGAAGGGGAGAGAAGGATGCATCTTTTGATGGAAATGTAGCTTGGTGATATTCATAATTGCTAATTGTAAAAAGAGAGGGAGATGACACGTGTCATAAAAACATAGCAAGTTCTCTTTTCGTTTAAGTTACAATAGATAAAAACATATATATTAAAATAAAAATAACTAAAATACCCCTTACATTTTAAGAGGTGCTTTAATTTATTTATTTTATTTGAATTATTATTTTTATATTTTATACAGATGCAACTGAATAAGTTGCACACATGGGGAAATAATTAATATTGGACAAATGTAAGGCTAATATTTTCAAAATAGCCAAATAGTCCACATTGTAGTTCAGTTTTAAACATTAATTGACCTCAACTATGCAATCTTGATCGGACAGTCTAGAACAAGTTTAAATATTTAGATTTTAAATTTTTCTACATACATGGGAACAAAACTTGGGGTGCCCATTCTTCTAGTTCCCATGCACCTTCAAAAAATAGAAAACTTATTTCAAAAAATAAAGTCACCAAAGTACTTATGAAACTTTGAGAGGTTTTTTTGGTTATTTTAATTTACTATAATTTCTTTTTTATATTTTTTGATTGTCCCTCAATGATGTACAAACCCTCAAAATTTATTTAAATATGAATTTAGAAAAATAAAAATAATAAAATATTTAAGTGACAAAATCATTAAATGAACCCTAATCCAAATAGGGAGAAGGTCACTCCTCTCATTTTCGTGAAGTGCAAGCTCCTTGCTTACCCCTATTTTCTACAGCACTTTTCAGTTCCTAATTGACAAACTAGGAACCTAGAGCTTCCATAGGCAAATATGCCTCAAAATAACATACCCATTGCAACAGGTGAAAGAGGTGCAAACACGAACTTACGGGCTGGTAGGAATTTGATTCTCTTAATTCAATGGATATTTGAGATTCGCAGGCCAAAGCCATTGAAACAGTCAAATCAGAATTAAATAGAGTTTATAAACCACATTTCAAGAAAAAGCAAGCCAAAAGCAGGGCAAATTATAGAGATCAATTGTCTGGCTCGCATACATATTCACCAAGAAGTAAAAAATCTACCGTTACCAAAGGAACAAACGGTGTAGCCCTTTTGGAGTACCATCTACCCAATTCTTTTTTTATAGAAAATTTTTATATAAGATGTCAATTTTATATTATAAAAAGTAGGGCGCATCTTAAAAATTTACTAGAGAGGGTTATTTCCTCTCTAAAAAACCCCTCTGATTTATCATCTAAACCTCAACATATAGGAGTGTGAAAAAAATAAAAGATTTTAAGTTCTATCAATAGTATACATAATAATGTATTATCTAAACCGTCTCTTTCGATACTTTTAAGTATCCGTAGATCTACTAGCTCTATGCCATTTTTTTAAGCTTTAAATTTCATAATTATAGTTAAAAATAGATTTTCCTAATGGTCACAAGAATTTTCAGCACTAAAACATCTTTGGATATGCACCTTACTGTGATTGTTTAAGTCGTCAATCATATACTAACCTGAGAATGCGGTGGGGGTCGTGGTGGTAGCACCCCTTGTGCTCCAGCTAAGGTTTAAGCTTCCATTCTCATCTAACTCATTCAAAAACCACTAACCATTTCAAAAAATAAGTAGGGGCTCGTCATCCCTACTGAATTACCCAAAAAATCTATATACCAATCTTAGTCTTCTTTATATAGAAAATGTTTTGATAGGGCTGTAAGTAAAGCCTCACCTAAAATTATATTAAAATTATACTTTTGACGAAAGTTGATCATCTTGACCTTGAAAATTATAATTGAAAAAAAAAAATTAATGATTTCAAGCCCCTAAAAATGACATGTATTGTAATATATTATCTAGACTATTCATTTTCCCTAATAATAAGTGTTTGCAAATTTGTAAGTTTTATACCTTTTCTTGCGCTTTGAATTTCATAATCGGTGTAAGAAATTGATTTTAGAGCAATTATAGAGGTTTCTAATGCCCAAAGTGCTTTCTAGACGAAGATTCAAAATTATATTTGTGGCATCAAAAAACCTTCAAATTGATCATCTTGACCTTGAACATTATAATTGTAAAAAAAAAGAGTTAATGATTTCAAGCCCCTAAAAATAGCATGTACTGTAATATATTATCTAGACTATTCATTTTCCCTAATAATAAGTGTTTGTAAATTTGTAAGATTTATACATTTTTTTGAGCTTTGAATTTCATAATCAGTGTAAGAAATTCACTTTAGAGGGATTATAGAGGTTGCTAATGCCCAAAGTGCTTTCCAGATGATTCAAAGACAGGCTTTACTTTTTTTTCATAAAAATTGGGGCTTATCGATATTACATCCTTTTAATATGATTAAAAGAAAGAAAAAGTTTATATAAGGTTGTAACCTCAAAATGTAGAACTACATATGCAACTCAAAACTTCATTGGAAAAGGTTATTTTAATATTGAAAGACCCTCTAATTGATCATCCCGATATCTAGTTATATATATATATATAAAAGATTTCGAGTCCCAAAAATAGTTCATCTTACAACACATTATTTAGACCATCTATTTTCAAGACCTTTATATGTTTATAGATCTACTTGATTATAATAATTTTTTAAGTTTAAAATTTTATAATTAGGTATTAAAATAAATTTTGAGATAATCTTAATAATTTTTTACATTAAAATTATTAAAATTTGCATGTGTATTTTAATTACATTGTTTGAAGTTGCAACCTTATAGAAACCTCACACCCTCCGAAAAAAAAAAAAAAAATCGAAAGCACTTTCATGACAGTTACGACAAAGTACTGGGTCCTTTTTGTAATTTTGTCATAAGCGGAAACACCGCCTTTATTATTCGTACGCATCTGGCGTACCCGAATCTGATGCATGCCACGTGTCCGGTGAGTCCCCCCACTGGGAGCTCCTGATAAACGGAGGCAAACCTATTTATATTCCTCACTTATTATTTCCTTTCTGTGCAAACCCTAGAATTCCGTTCTCTCACATCCCTCTTTCTCTCTCTAAGTCACAGTGCATTTGTCTATGTGTAAACCCTAGAAGTCCACTATATCTTACTCTGCATCATCTCCTCCTTTCTGATACATTTTTTCTCTCTCTTGGAGTTGATTTCCTTGGATTCTCAAGAATTAGTTTTCCCTCTTGTCTATCTGGGAAAACCCTTGAATTTTATGAACTGTTGCAGGCCCATAAGCCCAATTTTCTCAAATATCCTGTGGATTAGAGGATTTTTCCCCTTTGTTTTTTAATTGGGAGATTTCGTGGAGTTGATAGTAAATGGCCACGAATGTTTCTGCTGTGTACCTTTATGTGGTGGACTCCGTAGTAAACAAGCTCAGAGAGGAGTTTGTCAATGAAGGCGTAGATGAGAGTGTCCTCAATGAGCTCCAAGCGGTCTCTCTCTCTCCTTATCTTCCAAATCTTTGTTTCTTGGTTCCTGAAGATATTTTGTTGAATTAGACTAGTTTTCCAATTTTCCTAGTAATCTTTTTTTTTTTTTTAAATGCTGGTTGTATATGATTAGGTGGTAATTGTAAGAATATATTGGTAAGAAATGCATCTATTGATTTTTTTCATCATCCATAGAACAAATTGAAGAAATGGAAGCGGAAAAATGGCGAACCAAAAACGTGTAAGGTGTTGCTAAAGTGTTGGTTTGGCTTTTAATTGAAAGAAAAAGAAAAAGAAATTAAAAAAATTCTATGTATGTGTATGTGTGGTTGGGGAGGGGCGCAAAAACATCAACTGTCACATGAAACAAACAAAAATATCACTTTATAATGAAGTAATTGAATTTCGAATTAATATTAGTTGTTTTTCAATGAGAGACATTCGGTCAGTGAACAAAAATAGCAAGGAAGAAATGTTTAAGGCAAAATTTGGGATTTTTTCGGAAGTTTCCTTTTAAAAACTATAAAATATGCTAATATTTCATTTTTTTAAAAAAATATTATTTTTTGTTGATTTGAAAATCATGCCTTTTAAAACATTTTTGATTAATTTGGAGCATTTTATGAAGTAACTAGGGGATAACCAAAAGGGCTTTTAATTCCCATGTGGTATTCTATGTGCTTGTATCTTCTTCCTTTTTTGGGATTTTTCTTCCCATTTTTTGTATATTTATTTGCTGAATTATTCTATTGTTCTGGGGCTTCACTTCATGTCAATCGTTTCTTTTAAATAAGAAACAAGTTGTAACATTTTTGCAGTGAAGGGGGTACTGCTGGACTGTTAATTAATATAAATGAAATAAAAGCAAAAAACTGCTGTTGGCCTTATGCGATTGGATGAGTAGTGAGTAAAGACTGGGGAATTTCTTCATAAGCTCATTGACGCATTCTAAGTACTGCTCCATATCATTACCGATAGCATTAAGTGATTTGTGTAACTCAATATTGTTCTTCTCTAAACTTTGAAGATTTCTACCACCTTCTTACTTGCTTCGTAGCTGAAAAGAACTTTGTTTTCTCCTTTCATGTTTCACTTTGTAAGGATAGGGAAGCATGGGAGCAAAAAGTTTTTCGTCTCATCTTTTACATTACTTAAGATCTCTGGAAATGTCAAATTTCCAATGAAGGATACAGCTCAATTCTCCTTGCATAGGTTTATTTTTCTACTTTGAATTATTTTAGAGAAACATGAAATTATGCTGACTCAAGAAAAGAGCAAGTTTTCTTTCTTTTTCCTCCTTTCCTCATTTTTATCCCAAACTGTTTCATCCAAATAAACACATCATTATTGCAAATGGATTTTTAATTTGGGGGATAAGACTATACTTTAATTCCCACAAAAAGTAGAAAGAAAATGACTTCTTGGGTTAATGAGGTTTACCATTCATAAGAAATTTGAATGCCTTTTGCTAGAGCTGCAGTTTTTGAGATAGTTCCAAGCGCTGTTCGAAAAACCGGGCAATGTAATTGCTTCCCGCCCGGTTAGACCGGAACCGGTCACGGTTTGGGCAGCTTTGGTGTTCGACGGGTATTTAAAAAATAAAATTAAAAAAATATACATAAGTTCCCAAAAATAAGGATTTTAGTTTGTAATGCATTTTTTAATATTCTTTACTATATGGTAAAGTTTCAAAATTGTTTTGGTCATTAATACTCACTTCTATATTTTCCCATCTTTTTCATAAAATTTTAAAAATACCCCTAAGCACAAATCGATTCGTTAAAATCCATTTTTTTATATTAATTGTCAATTTCATTTGAATGTGTGTTGTTTTAATCATTCGTAATATGCTTTTCATATTTTAGTAGCTTTTTTTTTAGTATCTTTTTTATTTTTGTCAACACTTTTTTGACCACCCAGGACTTGCTTGGTTAGAATGGTTGAATTAGCCAATTTACCAGTTAGGCTGGTTAAAACACTTCCTGGCCCATGTCCGGTTAACCGTTCCGGTTCGATTTTGCGAACACTGGTTCCAAGGCATATTTACTTTGTTAAATTTCTATCCAAATGAACTATTCCTTCAATTGATCCATTGCCAAAACATGAATGTAATGAAATACTCTCCATGTGGATATGCTAAAATTTAAGGCACACACGTAAAATGGAAAGTTTTGCTCATATGCATGTTATGCTCCTTGTGGTATTCTTGTAAGTTGATTACATTTTGATGTGTATTATTTTCTTAGTTGTACTAACTTTCAAAAAGGAAACTCTGATTTCTTATTTTCTCTTTTTCAGCTCTGGGAACTGAAATTAATGCAACGTGGTGCTATAAAAGGCGTGATAGAAAGGAGCCCTGCTCCTGGAGGTGCTGGTTCGGTAACACCTGTCCATGACCTGAATGTGCCTTACGAAGGACTAGAAGAATATGAAACTCCTACAGCGGAGATGCTCTTCCCACCAGTTTGCACCATTCCATTTTCTTAAATCTGTTATCTATTTTGCTTCAAATGTTATTTTGCATCATGATATGGAATATCAATTTACTTCTCAATATGATTCTTTAACACTTATCAAAAGGCAGTCTGATTTATATAACTACCATTTGTAATTTAGGAACTTGTTCTAGCTTTTTATTTCTATCTTTAGTTTGCTTCGTTCTCATGTTCCATTTTGTTTTGTTTCTGGCAGACACCGATACAAACACCTATACCAACTCCTTTACCAGGCGAATCTGCAGGATACCCTCACTTTCCTTCAGGTCCTGGTGAATATGGGAGTCTACCTGACATAGGATCTTCCATTGATATTAAGACAGGAATGCCTGCTCCATACATGGTAAGTTGGAAATATGTTGACCTCCTAATCTGCATAATTAGAAAGTTGTTTTGGTACATGTCAGAAATAATAGATTATTGCTATCGATTCAATGGAAACGATTAAATCTCAATCATTTTGTTGGGTGACATGGCATAAGAAGAGAAAATACTAATCCAATATACCTTTTCTATGTGCTTGGTATGAACGAAGGCCTTGTTCTTGTTATCAATAAAATAATCAGTATAAGGAGAACATGATTGTTCAGAGTCTATGATTTTTTTTTGGGAAATTGTTTAACCTTTTTTAACATGCAATTTTTTTTTGTGTGTGTTTTGGTTCAGCAACAGCCTTCTCCTTGGATGAATCAAAGACCACTTGGTGTTGATGTTAATGTTGGTAAGTGGTGTGGTCTTGCTCTGTGTATGGCATTGTTTCATGTCTTCATAAATGCAGTTTGGAATGCTTGCTAGTGAATATTGATGAGATATTTACTAGTTGGATATCTATTTGGTCTTGTAGCTTATGAGGAAGGAAGGGATGAGGAGGGAGGTATCTCTCGTGCGCCTCTGACAAAGGTATTCTCCTTTGATTGCTTACAGTGATATTTCATACACCTGTAATAAAGGTATCGCCTTAGTCCTTTTAGTATCATTTGTCTCTCATTGACACCTATGCTAGCATTTCATGCATGACTATTGACCAAGAGTTGTTAAAATTGAGACCCTTTTCTAATTACCAAAAAATAACACAGAAAGAGACCTTCTTTTACGATGTTTTTTATTTTTATTTGTTATATTTATATCCATGCATGAATCTTTTTCTTCCATTCTATTATTGTAAAATGCAGTTGAAACACTTAGAAGAATAGGCGAAACTTTTCACATTCTTCTTTAATCCACCACTTCATTTTAACGAAAACTTAGTACCATGGAACTGGATAATTTGTTGAAACGAGTAGTTTTGGCCACAAGAGTGGACCCAAGGTCTGGGTGGTTAGGGTGGTGGGGTGCCACAATACAATGATGTCTTGGGCTCCCTTCCAACCTTATTACCATTCACCCAAAAAAAAAGGCCACCAAACTTAGTTGTTGATTGATCATAGCTGCATATAGGAGTGAGAGAGGGAAGCAAAGCAACAGAAAGGGGGCCTCAATAGGTACGAGGATTGCGGTAGGAAGCTGCTCGTGAATGAAATTTGGGAGTGGGAGCAGATTGAGGTTATGGAGAGGGAGTACCACCCTTAGTGTGATTGCTACTAAGTGATTGACAAGCAATGATTGGAAGCATTATCTTTAATTTAGAATGGTATACTATTTTACCCTTGATTAATCATGTAGAAAAGCAACAAAATTAGTGTTAACCCAAAAAAAGAAACAATCAATGCACCTTCCTTTATTGGGGAAGCATTTATACCTACAATAGACCATAACTCGTAGGTCTTGCAATGGAAAATCTTGATGGTTATTTTTATTTCTCCTCCATCCTATGACAGGTTGCAAGATCGTTCTTTATTTGTTTTCTTGATTAATGACAATATATTACTCAATAAATTTGTTTAAAAAACTATCCAATGAGAGGTGGGATGAGGAAAGCCCACATGTTGGCTGCTCTGGTAAGCTGTACAAAAAGGACATAACAGAAAATCAAAAAATACAAATAAGGCCTCTTTTATGCAAAAATTCTAAAGCCTGTACATAGTTCCGAGAAAGATATCGTATAGAGAGAGTTATAGGAAAAAGAGATGTAGAAGGAGATGGGAAGTGAAGAAAGAAAGACCATTTAGAGGAGAGAAGGGAAAGAAAAAGAAGAAGGAAAAGGCATAGAGGGGAGACAGAAAAAGCAAAGAGGAGGGGGAGAAAGCGAAAGAAAAAAAAGGTCGGTTGTGGTAAGGTGGGGAGGAGGAGATGAAATAAGGGAGAAGAGGAATAGAAAGAAAATAGTGGGGGAAAGAGCAAAAGAAGGAACATAGAAATGAACTAGTATAAGGAGAGAGGGTAGAGTTGGGGAAAAAAATCCCAAAAGTAGGAAGCCTCGAAAACTAAACAGTGGAGTTGAGTAAACCAAGAAGTTCCCCTTCCTTTGTCAATAGGTTAGCCATCACATTAGCCTGCTACCAAGTATGAAGAAAGTTGGCCATAGTCGCGGGGAGCTTGATCGAGAGGTGGCAATCTCCCCTCACAATCTCGCTTTGGTGATCCTAGAGCCAGAGACCAAGCCCAAGCCCAAGCCCAAGCCCAAGCCCAAGCCCAAGCCCAAGCCCATGCGCATGCAGAGCTTACTGCTCCCATTGAGGGACCTTGATCCCCATCTTATCAGGATCTCGATCCCTGGCTAAAAGGGATCTTGATTTCTTTGGAAGGGGATCACAACCCCACTTAAAAATGGGGTATGATCATGGTTTGAAGGGTCCTCAATCCTAAGGGAAGTTTCAATATTTTTTGAATTTAGAACTTGACGTCTTTGATTTTGTGTATTTTTTAGTAAAAAGTTTTTGGCAATTTTGTAGCCAAGGACGATTTCTATTTTCCATTTTCATGGTCATGGTTTGTATAAGTGGTTGAAAACTGGCGCATAAACTCCGAATTGCCTAATTCAGCTTGAACCTAGGAGGTTCCCAAATCCTAGTTAGTCCAAAAGAGGGGAATTGCGAAGGTTGTCCTGACCTGGGTAGTTCTCACCATAGTGAATCATCTTGTCTCATCAAGTTAAAGATTGGGGCCATTCCTAAGTTCGGTTCTTACCATAACCCTTCAATCTCATTTCTGAATTTTTTATGGAACTTTTGAGTTATAAAATTCTCATTGTGCATGTGTAGATAATGCTAAAAATTGGATTATACATTTCTCAAAATTTTAAATTAATTTTTTAAATCACTTTAATAAATACATACATACACAAACACATATTAGATACACAAACATACACGCATGCACGCATAGAGTGTTACCGAGCAATCCATTATACATGTAGTGCAACATCATGCAGTACTTAGGCGCTCCCAAGGTAGGGAGCTTCAGCCATGGGTCAATCCCAGGCCCACTCGCGTACACACTCCCGCTTTTAACAACTATGAAGTCAACTCCAAGAGGACTACAAAAGAAAAAATTATGATAAAAAATGTTAGATGATCTCCAACGACAAGGCGTCTTCCTTGAGGCCTAGAGGATAACATTTTTGGAATCTCCTTCCACCACTAGATTATCTCCCTAAGATGGGTTAAAACTCTTTAATCCCTCAAGAACGGCATTTGGTTCAGCCCAAGAAGAATCCCCGAGACCGAGGGATCCCGAGAAGCCTGAGAGAATGTTCCCCGGTGAGTTTTTAAAGATAACCCCATATCCACTACGACCTATGTTATGGAGGGAGCACCCGTCTACGTTCATTTTGATGACACGCAGGCTTGGGGGAATCCTAAAGTTTGTCTTAGACCTTTTCAAGGCTTTGAAGCTCAGGATGATGACCTAATTTTATCCGAAGAAAGTAGCTGGTATGGATTTGACGTCAGGGTCCTTTTTGTCACCATCATCATCTTCAGTGGCTTGATAACCATCATCCTCTCCTCCTCCATCTTCCCCATGACCATGATCACCTCCTCCTCCATCTTCCTCATGCCCCTCAAACTTTTCCAACTGCTTCAACTGGTACATCTTTAGTCGCACCTTCCTCATAGGTGGGCCCAACTCTTCCACCAGTAGCCTCTTATTGATAATTGGCTCCTCCACATCCAGCAACCACTCCTCTAATGGGTCCCCTACAAAGATGTGGTCCAAATTGATAGGTTCGTAGTCCCCAATTTCTCTCTACTGCTGCTTTCAGAAGTTAGAGTTGTAAAGGACATAGACCAGCTTGTGAACTTTGGTTGCAGCCAACCAGTTTTTCCTTGATGTGTGGATCCGCCAGAATGTTCTTTAGTTTTGCTCACACATTGTTGTGGGACAGGTTAGGGTATTAGGCTGAGCACCTTTCTTACAATTCTTCGTAGATGGGGAACTATATAATTCCCACCGCCTTCGGAGAAAAAAAGTAGCTCATAAGAAATGATGCAAGTAACAATAAATGGTTGTGGAGCAGAATACTATAGGTTTATAGGAAGCTAATATGGATCTAGTTGAGTGCAAGATCCTCTGGCAAGATTTGTCACAAATTTCCCTTTTGCATCCTTATGGAGAGAAAATTGTGGGATAAAACCTAAGTTTTGTGGTCTACAAATGTGGCTTACATAACTCACAAAATGTGCTAAGGTGAAACTGCTTCACAAAATATCGTTCTTACCTCCTTCAGACCTTCAAGCTGCACTTTCCCATCTTGCTCGAATCTCTCAATGCAATGTTGTTTGTCTTAGAGAATAGAAGCAAAGCTCTATTGAAGAAAAAACCGAGATAGTACACACATTTAAGACAAGAACCAAGTTTAGCTATATGAACCCTCATCAATTGTAAACCACAAATCCAAAGTCCAAATTCCAGAACCCAAATGGCGATAACTGTTAAATATTTAATTGTTAACCTGTTTACCTATTATGGGTGTTTTACGGGGCAACGTGTTCTGTTGTCTTATCTGTCATCTCCCTTACTTTCTGATTTATGCATATGGGTCATCTACTTTCCATGATCAATTGCTTCATACAAGAACCCTATAGCATGATTCTCATTGGACTCCACTATCTTCAAATATGTCATTAGAGTTGTAGCTCCCACAATTTGCTCACATGTACCCCAGAATCTCCTTATTATTTTATTATCCCTTCAACTTCAATTGCCGGTTGAGAGGGTTTTTAATGTATTTTTCTTAGGCAACCATATTTATAAAGCCAGGTTGTGACCTCAATATCAAATTGATTAACAAGAATGTGGTATTGAATTGTGTGATGGCTGACCTGATCAGGTACCCCTCTTGTGTGTACTACCTCATCAAACTAGAGTTTACGAATGGTTGTACATGTTTGTTAATGATTTTAACCTTCTCAACTGGTCTTACCTATTTAGCCATGCAATATCTTCGAGCATCAGGTTGATGCAATGGGCTGTAGGAGGACTCCAAACCAAATCCTTCGTCTTCCTCGTTAGCCTTTCTTCTGCATTGACGTAGTTTTTGGCATTATCAGTTATGTTTTGGATTACTTACCACCAAAATCCTTCACCACCTCATCTAGCAGCCTGAACAATAGCTTCCCACTCTTCACCTTATTAGAGGCATTGAAACGCCTTCGGAAGACTATCCCTTGTTGACAATCTACTAAGAAAGTAATCGTTGTTCTCCCCTTTATACCCTTCCAGCCATCTGACATGATGATCACTCCTCTTCTCTCCCACATTTGCTTGTACTCTTCCACAAACAAGCCAACCTCGACCACCTCATCATCCAAGCAAAGCCCACTAAGCTCATATGCAATGGGGAATGTGATTCCAAGCCTACATTAACTACCATAGATATCATGGGTTAGTAATCCACATTATTAGGTATATTGAAACGAATAGCATCATTATAGAATGATTTCCCGATCCCTTTCATCATGCACTTCCTCGTAGTCTTATTGAAACTAACTTGATGGTCCTATGCTATGCTGATGGTTTTT